GGCTTCCAGCCCCTTGCACCTCAGCTTGCAAATCTGCATCTTACTCCTATTACGGTTGATATCGGTTTATCATCGACTCCCCGGTGGCTCCTCCTGCAGAAACTTTCTTTAAACTTGGGAATTGTAAACTGGACGATTTACTACAAGGGAGCGGCACGGATGACCAACATAATACCTCCCACCGGCAGGAAGAGAAACAGATGGATGGAGGAGTGAGTAGGTTGCAATGTGTTATCTAATATTAAAATAGCTCTTCGATTGTACACATTACGCTCTGCAAATACTTTTTGTACTCCAGGGAGGATGGTCTGTGGCGCCTGAGGTAGTCAATCAACAACGGGAGCTCTTTCATACCAATCCTTTGGACCACAGGAGGAACTGCCACCAAACCGCGATTGACTGCTATGCTTGCTTTGTGGTACATTGGTATGCTTGCATCGCATGATCAGGGAGTCAACAACTGGCAGATGTGAGCCATCCCTCATGTACTCACGAAGCCGGTGTGTCGGCTACTTTTGTTTCTTTAGGTCCATACGTCTTCTTTGTCCAGCGTGACTTCCTATGTATGTTGTATGGTATCAATTCTGAGAGAGAAATTGAAAAGAGTTCTATTTTGTTCCCCCATCCACGGATTGGCGGAAACAGGCAAATGCCTGGTCCCTGTTACAAAACTACGAGACCATTCAATCTCCACCTGGCTGCGCATTGTCATTCCCCTTTCTTTTGTATGCGTAAATATGCACACACTGCATTGGAGGGCTAATCACATCTGCATCTGTGATCTTGTTTATCGATCCAACCTTTAAGACCGGCCCCGACCCGATTTTAGGCTGCCCTGAGAGAACGATCATCTCAATAAAGATCAAACAGTTCCTCAAACCAACAGGTGCCTGGAATAGCTGCTGGAGACCCACCAATTACAGCGCTACCAGGTAACGAGCCTGATGGGCAGACGCTATCCGGGGTAACCCTTGCAGTGGAGCTGATGATATCACTCAATCAGTCGCCCTTTTTGCGCATGGCTGCGTTATTCTACGCATATCGTGCAACGGGACGACACGGGAAGAAAATATTTACCTAGTGGCAGACGGCTGATGAGGGAAAGTGGGTATAGAAGTTCAAATGCAAAACTAATGTTTGGTCTCTTTTCTTCTGTCGACTGATCTTAAAAGGGGATCCCCAAACAAACCCTTACCTCTATATCAATCATGTTATGAGCACGTGTTTGGCCTCTGATTGTACATTACCAGGACTTGGCAAAATATTGAGAAGAGGTTGGAGTATGCTGAGGTAAGCAATCCCAAAAAGCAGGCTAACCGGAAAATTGTTGACCCATTGCCTAGGAGTCACAAGGTGGGGCAAAAGTTGTTCATCTGGACTGCTTGCGCAGCCTTGTTTCAGAAAGAAAGTGAAACCTGAAGATTCCGAAAGAGAAAATTATAAGTTCCTAGTATTTTAACAAATTCACCAGAAGTCTACATAAAAAAGCAGAAATTTGCACCCCGATTTCGATGAGTGGTGATACTAAAAAGCATTTGGATACACTTCTCTTTCCCATAGCCAGATGGCTGCTCTTCTATGTACTCCTCGCCATAGCAATCTCTCTACATGCGCATTCCTAATGTCGTCGCCGCCGCTTTCCACAGTTTTCCTGGCCTGCAGCCCAAGCGGGTTGCATGGTTCTCTTGGATTGTGGCTCGGTCTAATATCACTGTGTCGGTTAACGAACTTCAATTTAGGTTTGGATTGCAACTGTACCTGATGGGTTTTGATCGTCGACTCCAGGAGCGCAATATACGAAAATAGGGTCCTGGCGTCCGCGAGGATTACTGCACAGTCAAAGCCATCTAATTTATGGATATGCCGTCTCGTATATTCTTCCAGCCTCTTCCGGATGTAGGCCACCTCTTCCTGACTAAGAGGTTTATACATTTGCTGAAAAGGCATTATCGGCCGGCTATCTGCAAGAGCTGTATGGATTGATCGAGTCCAATCCGGTACGGGTCTCGAGGGTTGGAGGTTCAGTGGATTTGTGGAAAGAATGATACGGATGGCTTCCCCGGCAGCGCTTTTTTCACAACGTACAGAACCATGAGCTGCCAATTCCCAAATGGGTGTTGCCTGCACTGGAGATGTTGGTCTCGTTGAGCCAGTAGAGCTCAGGGAGATGTTGTCCCGAGACTCAACAGAGCTCTGCTGCTGGGCCCTCTCGGCCATGGTTGTTCCTTGGTCACTGCTATCGTTCTTTTCTGCGTCCAGATGTCAGTTACGACCCGTTATCAATAGGATGATGGGAGTTTCTGTTGCACCTGTGGCAGAACTTGAACCACTGCCGCCTCTACTGTCCACTGGGTCGGTCTCTGATTCCTCGATCTTACGAGTTCGAGTTGTTCGGGTACTCATGATGGAAGTGTAGCGTCGGATAGTTTGCAAAGCTGGGATGACCTCTGAGGAGAAAAGGGAAGATGGAGCGATAGAAGCAAAGTGGGAGGAGGGCTGGCTTTATATGCCTTCGGACCTACGCTGCCTCTCCCCCCCACAAGACAAATTGGGAGCAACCGCAAATAGGCCGCACCATGTATGGGATTTGTTGGCTAATGAAATAGGGACTGGTTTAGGGATCGTCTTCCACGCTTCCTGTTGATGTGCATCTAGAAATGGGGTTTACAAGATAATTAACTTTCATTTATCGAACTGTTCTGTACGGAAAACGCAAAGGTACAGACAATCAAACGCGATTCGTACGATTCAAGCGATGTTTACAAAATTTGACCAGCGTCTATCACTGATTGAGCTACGGTATAAAATCAGCCAAGCCGGATCTTGCGCCTGATAGAAGGCGAACTCATCGAGATTCAGCATTAAAGCGGCGTTATCATCAGATACAATTTACCGACAGAGAAACGTGAAGCAGAAAGATAGAATATCTGTCCCAGTCCACCTCGGAACGTCGACTCGGAGTTAACATCTCGCCAGACAAACACGAGAGGGCCTCCCAGATTGACCATTAACATCAAACTTTCCATTATACAAGCATAAAACCGAGACGCAAGAATGCATCGGGTCGGCCAGACTTCCGCGGTGGATCAAGCGTTCCGAGCCTGGGAACTCCCCGCAAGATCCTCGAAAGAGTCAGTAGGGTTGGCAACTGCGCGTGCCCTGACATAATTCTCCGGTTTTCCCCTTTCATTGCGGGCTTTAGCAACCCAGCTGTCCGCATCAGCCAATGCGTCGGTAGGCGACGGCTTGCGTTCACCCCAGGCATACTGTGCTGCATCAACAACCGGCGTGCCTGACTGCTCCATGTTTTCTTTGCTAGCTTTAGGTGTTCTCATCTCGGAACATTCTTTCATCGCAGGATCGAAACCAACGTTCTCGTTATCCATAAATATGGGATCACATTCCATCCAAGTGGGTGGTATGTCTGACATATATTTATCCATAAGCACGGGTGATTCTGATTCGGGGTTGCGTGAGAAGGATATCTCCTGCCCTTGCGGCTTCAGCTGAGAAGCATTATTCAACACAGTCTCTGAACACATGTCAGCATATGCTCCCAGTTTCCAGTTGAGATATCAATTACCTTGTTCCTGAACAATCTTTTTACCATCTTGCTTAGGGCTGGCACACCCACCTGCAGTGTCTTCCGAGGGATTGGATTTGGAGGTGGTGGAATCCGCCCTGGCTTCGCGAAGAGCTTCTACGAGTTCTTTCGCATCGAAATGCTGATACCCATCTCCTGTTGTCACGCTCTGCTGGGGACTTTCATCGATGGGGTTGCATGGAGGCGTTTGGGCCGGCGGAGTATTGGCAGGGGCCTTGTCGTTGAGCTTCATTGCTTGAGGCATTGTGATAGTTGATGGATAAAGAAGTCTTGGAAACTGGGTCTGGGGAACTGGCTTGGTGAGGTCTGTGAGTGTCTTGAATGTCTGTTCATTGCCTCAGGATTTCGGGGGAAACTGTGCCTCCTTATATGCCATTCTGTCTGCACCCCTGGCACCTATTCCTTTTCTCATCTTCCCCTTTCGCTCGACAACATGGATACGGGAGGAGATGACCGTTGCTCTCCCATTCTAGGGATGCATGAAACTGTGCCGTAGTGTATGGTCTCGACCATGTCGACACGATGTCGATCCAAGAGACTGTTGGGGAAAGCTTGCCGTCTTCTGCTCTGTGTAGCGAATCTGTACCCATCTAGACCCATGGTTTGGATACAAGAATCTCATCGTGAGCTCCACGGTTCACTGTCTCTGGATGTATGACATTAGACGATAAATTGAGAAAAGATGTATGTGTTGTCGTTGCCGTGTAAGGCGCTGCAAGCTATGACAACGGATTGAAGCTGTGCGCGTCCGGCTGCAAACAATCAGCCAAAAAATCTTAACTTGCATTATTCCCTATGCTTTAGATTTGTAAATCCGGGTGATGTGGATCAAAGCACCGCTCGCCGGGTGAAAGTTCCCCTGGTTTCCATCACAGTTTTGTGTACTTCGAATGGAATGTGATTGGAATTTCATTGAAAAATATAAGTTTTCCTTTGGAAATATGTTGGAAAACCTGGTAAGTAAGCTCGGAATCTTGTAGCCTTTACCCGTGCTCGTGAACCAAGCAGCGCCACGTGACGTGCCGCTTTTTCAATCCCGTTTTGTTTGGCAATTTGAGTCGTGTTAGGCTAACCTCTGCATCGCAGGCAGTTTTCCAGCTTGCCTAATCGGAGATCCCCAATGCAGTCGATGTGACGCACCGTCTCTGCTCTGGCAGCATTCCGCGCCAACAGAGCTGAACACTTCTAGATCAAGGAAGTTCAAAACTGATTCTCCCATGTCCCTTGAAAATCCTTCTCTTCACGCAGTTATTTCCCGCATCCGAGTACCCAATCCGGCTCGAGATTCATGAACCCCTTGTTTCATTCCTGAATGACTGCATCCATGGTCTGCGGGGAATCCCAGAATTCATTCTATGTTCATGAATACTGAGGCAACGAACAGACATTCCATAGCTGCTCAGACTCGTCTTGGCAAACTTACATATTGTCATATTAGCTTACAGATAATCGCCAACGAGGCTTTTTGTGACCTGCTGTCTCGGACCCAGTTGACCCTAGTTGGATGGCTTGTCATGACGAGGTCCAAAACCCAGCGCTTATCAGCGTGCCAAAGGTTGAAAAGGTCGACGAAATGTAAGCTTCCGCCATTAATCTGTCACTCTTCTGTTCCATGGATTTTGACAAGTCATGTAGATTTAGAGGATCTCAAACCTAGTTGGCATATCTAGCTTGTTATCTCCTCTGTCGTGTAGCATAGAGATGACTAGCTTTTGAGCAGATGCTAGACTTTCCCTACGAAACATAGTTATGGCAATTAAGTGCCAGTTTTCTGGTGATGAAGGTCGGTGACTATCGGAGAAAGAGGCTCAGCATGGCAAAGCGACAACCGTGTTGCAAATCCCAGTACTCGAAATGGACGTTTGAAATTGGTGCGGCGGATCGCAAGTTGTTGAGGAAGTTTGGTGAGGTCATCGGTTTAACCCCACCTGCTTACTTCATGCATCTATCGGAAAAATTTTGCTCCGTGGCCTTGCCCACCTTGCTACCCAAGATCATATGGCACTATTGCGGCAATATTCCAAAACCTTTTCCCCTCTAACAGTATTTTACTTCTTACGGAAGGAAAAGTTTTTGTTAACATGGGTATTTGTGAATTTTTACTCCCCTAATGATGCCGTGATTGCATATGCTGACTGTCTTTTGACAGAACCACCCGAAATTTTTTAGCTAATAGTCAGCCATACGCATCTAAACACTGTTTCCCTTGCGAATCGACCCCCTTTCGCACCTTATCCTTTGCGACGAAACTCTGAAGTTCGGGCAACTTCTCAGCCTGTCACCTCTGCGGCGCTAGATATCTCGGTGCAAGTACCTTCAATATGCTGCGCACGATTAGGGCATCAAAGTCATCAACAGATGGAGAACTTGCAGAGATATGCAAGAAAGAGGTATGCACTTCTTCACTCTTCCGGTGTGAATGTATCCTAATATGCCGGAGTAGTTAGGTGACAGCGAATGCCAAATCGAGCATGGCCCTCAAACTGAAACCATATATCAAACCTCCCCGCCTCCAAACACTCTTGCCGTCGTCGTTGATATCTCCAATACGGGTGGCGCTCTTAAAGTTCACCAAAAATCAGACAACAGTTGGGGAAATATTTTTATCGGCATGGTAGGATCCGGTGATGATGATGAGAACATTAGAAATTTGGTGATTGTACCTTGGGACGCTGGATGGCATTACCGGACCATTGGCAATATAAAAATAAAATATATCATAAAGAAGTGAATGAGATAAGGTTGGGTTTATGCCACCTGGTGGCGCTGTGTGCTGAAATAGTTACACATCTCCTGTGAAATATTTATCGCTATGAATGGCAACGACTGATTATCATACGTTTCCGTCAACCACACTTTACTTCCCGCTTGACCTGACATGAGAATGGCCTGAACGTCGTGAAGTGTGAGTTCGAAGACCCGTCCTGAAAACAAGCCTGACATAAGTCAGCTTCCAAGTTCTTGTACAACCTCAAAGAATTGCATACCAGTTTGATACCCTGGGAGTTGCTGCTCGGGTCTCTCCGGGAGCGTACCGTCAGCGTCTGACGGTGGCAGGGCTGGGCGATGCGATTGAGAAGGCTGAGAAAGTCCAGTTTGCTGAGGTACACAGGTCTCGATATATGAAGAGGGGTTCACATTCGGCGATACTAGCATAGTTAGAACCTAGGTATCACCATGGTAGACATAACCTACGATATTCTGCAGCAATTTTGTCGATGGTTGGGTCTGTCAAGGCGTTTGCGCGTTTCTTGATTTCCTCGGGTAGGTTGAGACGAGCAACCTCTCTCATTGAGGCGATTGCTGACTGCCCAAGGCCGACGGCGCAAATTACCACAAACTGGGGACCGCGATCATGGTCGTTAACTTGTTTCAAGAATCGCCGGTAATTATCCCGCCTCTCGCTCTGTCTTGGTACTGTTGGATGGCAGTCGGTGGTCGGCAAGCAAGGTAAACGCTTCGCGAACACGTTTGGCTTCGTGGGGCTTTACGCTTTCCCGCAGTTTTATTGTTTTGGCCGAGTTTAAAACTTTGGCCACTGCATCATCAATTGAAAATGTGCGTTTTCCAGGTGTTGATGACATGTTAGGACCAAGATTTGGGTAGAAGTGTAGAACTGTTTGGAAGTTGGTTGGAAATACTTGGGAAAAGTTATGGCTTTTGTATGGAAGACAGCCACCCGCAGTATGTTGCATGCTTGGCACGTCTCATTCTGGACTAGCTTGACAAATCAGTATCTCCTAGGATGTAGGGGCAAGATTTACGTAATCGTTATGATAGATGCCATACGCCAATGACCCTTTTGCCTGGGAAGAGCAACAAAGTAACAACTCTAGGCAGCATTGCTAATTTTAGTTCGCATCACGGCCCAACTAGCGCTCCCACCGGCCTTGCTGTGCTAAAAAGTAGAATATACCTATTCAGGGCTCAGGCCGCTACCACCCAACATGTTTTGCTGCTTGGCTTCCAGCGGCCAACGATTGGCCCTCAGCAGCAATCATTTCCCATAGAAGCGCCTGATGCATTCACCACGCTTCCCCATTTCCTATCCCACAATGGCTCGTCATCAAATGATTCCCGGAACCGATAAAACTGAGTGCCAAACACCGAAACTCGCCCGCAAACGCCAGGCTCCCGAAGGCAGAGGTAATATCCAGATCTTCTTTACCGTATTCCAGGCTGATTTATTAAAGGGAAACAAGTTAAGCGAGTCAAGAGAGAGCAACAAGAACAACAACCGAAATCCTACCGGAGGAGCGCGCGCCTAAGCAGAAAAACCGCCCCTGTATCTGTATGCGCACTTCTTCGATATGACTGAGTGATATGATACTGATTTAACGCAGCAGGACTCTCCCACCCACACCCACACCCAAACCCACGTCCGAGAACAGAATACGAAGCCAAATCACAAACGACCCTGTGAAGATCAAGCCCCCCCCGTTCCAAAACGACTACGGTTGTCTATCCATAGCTCAGCTAACAACTGGAAGAAAGCTGACCTGATTGGGTATTGGTGCAAGGCCATTCGCTGGCCCGAAGAATATTTTGAAGCCCAGCCTGGACAGACTGAAGATATGAGCCACGTTCTCGCGAGAAAAAAATCATCGGCTTCCCTTCGGCGCAAAAACTCGACGTCGAGTCTTGCTACAGGCTCCAACACACCCACTGATCAAGAGTCAAGGGACGAAAAGAATGCCAAATACAGAAGCGCTACTTATGAAACTCTCCTCGCTACTTATGAAACTCTCCTCGCTACTAAAGGCAGCTTCATGCGCAAGTCAGAGCTAGGAATAACCGATAAGAGCAAGCGGATTTGTAAGGATTTAGTGGAAACCGATCAACCTGTTCCCAAACACACGCTATTTCGAGACGATACCTTTGACGAGTTTTGTCAAAGGCTACAAGGAAAGAATGAGTCAAGAGTTATCCAAGATATATCCCGATTAATTATACCTTCGGCAGAATCTCTCGCCGTTGACGGGGCCAAGAATCTTAAACACCTAGTTGAAAGCGTCAATGAACAGTGGAGCTCCTCCATTGCCTTCTGTGGACCGCGTCCGCAGCCGGATTATGCGGCCGGGTTCGGCCGTTCTGCGTTCACGGAAGACCAGCTGAAGAAATTCGAACCGTTCCTCGGCTACGACCCGGATACCTACAGCTCGTTCTTCCTGGCCACCTTCTACATGTACTTCCCCTTCTTGACCAGTGAGGTGAAAGGCACCGCCGCGCTCGACATCGCCGACCGGCAGAACGCACACAGCATGACCCTTGCCGTGAGGGGCGTCATTGAGCTGTTTAAACTTGTAGGACGCGAAGATGAGGTCAATCGCGAGATCTTGGCTTTCTCGATCTCACACGACAACAGGACAGTGAGAATCTACGGCCATTATCCGGTCGTTGAGGGAAGCAAGACTTCCTTCTACCGTCACCCTATCAGAACATTTGACTTTACGGAACTGGACGGCAGAGAGAAGTGGACTGCTTACACTTTTACGAGGAACGTTTATGACAAGTGGGCGCCGGATCATCTGAAAAGGATCCACTCGGCTATTGATGCGATCCCTCCTGGAGTAAATTTTGATGTTCCTCAGTCAGAACTTAGACTCTCTCAATCAAACACCCCATGCTTTTTGGAGGATGACGGCCAACTAAGCCAGACAAGCTTTGTAGCCTCAGCAGAAGCTACACCCAATACTTCCTTCACCCAACAGTCGCATGTCTTGAAGCGGCCAAGGAGGCAGAAATAATGTGTTGATGTTTTGTTTAAGATAAAGAATGAATTATTATCATTTGGATTGCATGTGGCTATGTCAACTTCAGAATACCTCCAGAATATGATCCCCCGCAATGGATTCGCCATGAAAATCGTGTGATCGTTTTGTGTTTTAGTACCGTAAAAACCGCGTCTAGGAGCCTATAAAGTACTTCTTAGAGCCGGAACAGCTTGATGATCTGACCCAGGAACTGTAACTCCAGGAACTCTCCCCGAGAATGTACGCTCAGATCATCAGTCTTCGCAAGAGTGATTTCATAGCACAAATGAACATTGTCTCGCGCGAGGTAGTTTTCTGATTTTAAGCCCCTCCAGCCTTCACTATTTCTGCGTATGTTAAAGAGGGTCTAATGGCCCAGCTTGCAACGCTCGCTTTTATAAATCAATTACAATCAACTTCAAATGTTAATATCTCAATGAATATTCTTTCAAAACTATTCTAAAAAAGAGAACAATAATTTATAGATATATATTATATTATATTATATTATTATAAGAAAAAAGTATAGAATTATTAATTTATTAAACTTTTTAAAATATTATTTTAAAATAAAATACACAGTCTATATTTATAAATATATTTATAAATATTTATTATTTCTATATTAAAATTAAATATTTTATAGATTTTAAATATTTTTAATAGAATATAAAAAATCATCAAAATACTACTGAGATACTGAAGGTCTTTACTTTTATATAAATACACTGAAAACGATAGCGAACGATAGCCCTGATCGCAGGGAATCTCACGACACCCAGCAATCCCCAGTTGAGGTGGTGCTGGTGCCATGGTTGTGATGGAGGAAATCGTGGGACGCGCTGACGGACGCCCGCGAGAAGAAAACTCTGACAAGAGGCAGCAGCCCACCACATGTGGAGCAATATTGACACAGTTGAGCAATGTTCTTTGCAATGGGAGCGAAGATCCTGCCATCAACGGCAAAGGGAAGGAGGTAGTGGAGGAGGCAGCCAGGTTGGTGAGGGAGTTGAAGGTCAAACTGGGGGAGGTGATGCTGGCCAAGGTGGAAGACGCGACCGTGGCGACACGTGTACAACGCCAACCCGAAGGAGTGAAAGAAGCCAAACTGTCATCATGGGCCAAGGTCGCAGGACAGGGAATTCCAGAAAAACCAGTGCCTAACTGAACCCTCCGCGAGATTACTGTCCTACGCCGGGACTGCGAAGCCCTCCCAGCTGAGGAGGCCACCCCCCCAGCGATTGTGGCAGCCGTCAACACCAGAATTATGGATGTGACAAAGGGAAAGGTGCTTGCAGCAAGATGTCTCCCCAGTGGAGACATCATCCTGACAACCGACGCGAGGGAGACCAGGGAGGCCTTGACTAAGAGCAGCACATGGCTGGAAGTCTTGGGACAAAAGGCGAAGGCAAAGCACACCCTGTACCCAGTCATGGTTAAGGGAGTCCCAATGGGCAACACCAACTGGAAGGAGGAACAGCAAGCCATCAAGGCAATTTACGCACAGAATGAAGGACTCCGAAGAGGGGTACAAATTGAGAGACTGTCTCTACGACGGAATGCCAGCTTGCAGGCAAAGGTTGGGTCTCTTGTACTCAGCGTCACCTCGCCTCAGCAAGCCAACCTACTAGTAGACAATGGATTGATAATAGACAGCATATTTTGTGACGTTGAAATCTTCCACCGGGAAGCGCAGGTCACCCGGTGCTTTAACTGCCATGAGTATGGGCATACGGCCAGATTCTGCAGGCAGGCCAAAAGGTGCGGGTTCTGCGCGGCAAAAGAACATGACGACAAGGAATGCCCAGCACGAAAAGCTGGGGAACAACCGAGGTGCGCAAATTGTAGGGGAACACACCCAGCCTGGGTCTCTAAGTGCCCTGAGAGGGAGAGGGCATCAAGCAGGGCCCGTACAGCATACATGGAAAGACCCCGTAGGTTTATGGAGCCAAAAGCACAAGATGGGTGGCAGGTGGTGCAAACCAGAGGAAATAAAAGGTTACCCACTGGGGAACCAGAGGGCCAAAGAAGAGGACCAGGCCGACCCAAGGGGATTCTGCAAGCAGGCGAAGCCCAGAGAGGAGCTCTAAGTGCCTTTATAGCACCACAGAGCTCACAACCTGGGTCTCAGCTACAGGAGGACCTAATGGACTACACGCAGACCCCAGCCCCCACGCAACAATGAGGGACACACTAAACCTCCTACAATATAACGTGCACAACTCTGCGAGAGTTATGGGTGCGTTATTGGCAGACCCTGCAACAGAAGACAAATACGACGTAATTGCAGTACAAGAGCCCAGCCGGAATCCCCACATGCTAGCAACACACTGCCCCAGAAGCTGCGGCTTCTGGCCAGCATATCACCCGGAAACACATCCAAGAGTATGCTTTCTGGTCAACAAAAGGCTCGTGGAACACACATGGGAATGCCACTACCACTCAGAATACATTGCAGTGCTGACAATCACCACCGACCTGGGTAAGGTGCAAATAGTCAATGTGTATGCACCTCCTCCAGGGGGCTACAGCAGTGAACCGGAGGAATCCCCCATAGGCCAGCTGCAGGAGGTAGCCGGAATGGGCACAGATGCAGAGCTGGTCATATTAGGAGATCTTAATGTCCACCATGAGAGGTGGGGAGGGGTGAGAGTGGAGAGAAACTTCCGCATGGCATGGCAGCTAATAGCACAGGTGGATAGGCTGGGTCTCCAGCTTGCCACACCTGTAGGGGCTACCACATGGCAGGACAGAGGCAGCCCAGGGACGACTATAGACCTCACCTTTCTATCACCACTCCTGCACGACAAGCTCAGGAGGTGTGCAATAGCGGAGGAGGCATGCAAAGGATCTGACCATAAGCCCATGGAAACAACACTGGAACTCACACCCATCCCAAAGGAGGCTGAGAGACGAAACATGAAGAATGCGGAGCCTGAGGAGGTAGCAAGGGACTGCCAAAAGCTATATGTGCCACAAAGCCTGGACTCCAGGCAAGCAGTCAAGGAGTATGCAGACTACCTGGTAGGATTTGTAGGGACATTAGCGGACAAACACGCCACCGTAAGTAAGGCTGGGTTAAAATCCAAGACATGGTGGTCACCGAGGGTGGCCAAGGCAGTGGAGGAGTACAAGCAGGCTAGGAGGTCCCAGCTCCCAGAAATGGAGCGGCTCAGGGCACGCTGCAAGCGCAACAGAGAAATCCACTTGGCTAAGACAGCAAACTTCAGAGATCTGGTTGACAGGACCCGTGATGACCCCAGATTGATGTGGGGACTAGCAAAATGGAGCAAGGAAAGAAGCCATCTGCCCCCACAGGCACCTACTGTCCCCCCCCTGAGAACAGGGGAAGGGGCTGACGCGACGGTAGAAACCTCTTTTGAGGGGAAGGCTGAGGCATTACGACAACGGTTCTTCCCACAGCCAGAGCCCGCCGACTTAAGTGACACCAATATGGAGCTGCTGCAAGCTGAAAGGGAAGCGTCAAATGACACCATCAGTGTGGAGGACATGGAAAGCCTGATCCAGAGACTGCCAAACAGGAAGGCACCAGGGAGGAGTGGGATCACCAACGAGTTCCTTAAGATGCTGGGCAGAACATTTGTGGAGGCCATAACAGCTCTCACCAATGCATGCTGGCATTGGGAGACTTACCCAGACACGTTTAAGGAAGCCAAGACAGTGGCCTTGCGCAAGCCAGGGAAGGCTGACTACCAGACTGCAGGAGCGTGGAGACCCATTGCCTTGCTGGACACAATAGGGAAGATTGTGGAGGCAGCAACTGCAAAACGCCTGCGGAAGATCGCGGAGGACCACAACCTGCTACCCTCACAGCAAATGGGGGCAAGAAGGGGCAGGTCCACTGAAACAGCCATAGCACAACTTCTAGCCCAGATAAGGACAGTGTGGCGGCACCCAGGACAGGTGGCATCGGTACTCTCCCTAGACATGACAGGGGCCTATGACAAGGTGCTGCGGGAGCGAATGGTTCACATCCTCCGGCGACTGGGCATCCCCAGGGACCTGGTGGGATGGGTTGCGTCCTTCATGACCAACAGGAAATCCACAATTGCCTTTGAGGGCCAGGAATCAGACACCTTTGACATCCCAGCAGGCATCCCGCAGGGGTCACCCCTATCACCTATACTATTCCTATTCTACAATGAGGAACTGGTGCGCATCTGCTCAAGACCGGGGCGCCCGGTGGTGTGCATAGCCTTTGTAGACGATGTCAACGTGATGGCCTATGGCCAGTCCACTGAGGACAACTGCAGGGAGCTCCTGCGCATGCATCGGGCATGCGAGGAGTGGGCAGCACGGCACGGGGCGGTCTTTGCCCCCCAGAAGTATGAGCTAATGCACTTCACACGGGCGCGCAACCAATTCAACCTACAGGCTGAGCTGAGACTGCCAGGACAAACTATACAACCGAAACAGGTGATGAGGGTATTGGGTGTATGGTTAGACTCTAGGCTGAGATGGAAGGGCCACCTGGACGCGGTGGCAGGCAAGATGAAGACTCAAGTCAGAGCACTGTCCCAAACCACCCAATCCACATGGGGGCTCCCACTACGACAAGCGAGAATGGTGTATAACATGGTCATCAGGCCGGCCCTGACCTATGGAGCAATAGCATGGCACCAGCCACAGGGGCAGGGGGGCACGGGTCCAGCTAAGTCAGGACTGGCCCTCAAGCTGACCACAGTGCAGAACTCCTGCCTCAGAATAGTGGCAGGGGCATACAAAAGAACCCCAACAAGCACACTGGAAGCGGAAACCCACACAGTACCCTTAGACATCCACCTGGATGGGCTAGTGGCAAAGGCGGTCAACAGGATGAAGGCCTCAGGAATGGCGCAACAAATTGAGAATGCGTGTGCGGCCATAAGGACCAGGCTTCGGCACCGGGGGGTGACAAGGGGGGCACAGAGACACATGGGAGCTGTGGTTCACCCGGCAGCCCTGCCAGTGGACTGGGAACAGCAATGGATTCA